GAGGAGGGATGGGGGTGAGGGGAGGGAGAGGGAGAAGGGACTTACATGTGAAACAAGCTTGTTCCCTAACTAGAACTAATAAAAAAAAAATTCCAAAAAAAAGAGATAAAAAAAAAAAGAGAGAATTGTCATCTTGTTCTTGTCCTGTCTTGGAGGAGCCGATGTGTTGTTATTTTCTGATAGAGGGGAGACTCTTAGGTTAGACAATTTGTTTGTGTACTTTTTCCAGTTAGAAGAAACATCTTCAGCTTGGGTAGGAAAACCCTGTCATGAACACCTAAAGAGGTATTGAAGCAGGACAGAATGATGAGGAAAACTACAGGGACATGAAAAAAGAGAGAGACCCTTCACCCTGGGATCAAGTTTGCCTTCTGTTGCTGTCTGAGAACAAAAAACATCAACACAACTGAGTGCGCCAAAATTATCATGAAGATAGTGTGTGTGTTTCTGAAGAAATGGCAAACAAAATGTTGAAAACAGCAAACTATGCTAAATTAGGCCAGAATGTTTGTAACCTTGGGTTTTATCTGATTAACACCCTTCTCTCACTTTACTCTAAATAGTGAATCTCAAAAAGACACCCTCAAATTTCATCCTTGAAGGAAATTCTTCAGAAGAGAAGTAAATAAGTCGGCTAGTGCAATTTTGTTCTTTTTCTATAATTATATATTCTAAAATTATCATCGAGGATATTCTTGTACCTGGTGTTATGTTACATAATGATGATTTTGTACAAATCAGTGTTCTCTCTCCTAACTCCCTCCTTTTCCCTTTTATCTGCCTTCTCTCCCCATTGGCTCCTTTTGTTCCCTTTGTTTCTACCATGGAATGTGTCACTTGGAGCAATCTGAACCTGTGTTCCTGGGCCATAGCCACTCATACTTGGCTTAGATAAACTATGTCTCATTTCTTTTGAGGTGAAAGTTGTGTTTTGTGTCTACACATGGGAAAAGCAGTTATCTGCATTCACAAGAATGAAAGTAGACCCATGGCCCACACCATGCAAACATCAACTTAAAGTTGAACAAAGACTTAAGCATGCTACATGAAACTGTAAAGCTTTCTGACACTGACTGGTCTGGGTGATAGAGCCTTAGGTGGAATCCCAAAACACAGTGATGAAAAGGAAAGTACAAAAGTGAGATTGCACCAGACTAAAACACTTCTGTTCAAGAAAAGGAATCAGTGAGAAAATGTGTTAACCTATATATCCGATAAAGGAAAGTAGTGTTGGAGGCTGGTAGGGTGCTATTTCCTGGCCTCTATGGGGCAATGAACTCTTTGGTGCCATGTCCTTCTATCATAATATTCCTAGCTTGCCTGAAAGCAATGTAGACAGTGAACCATGGCTTGTAATCATATGTCAAAATAAATTCTCTTCCTAAGTTCATTTCTCTTAGATGGTTTTTCACAGAGTTTGAAAGAAGAATTTTTTGCTTGTATTTCCTAAGAGAAGGAAGTAAGCCATGGCTATTCAGGGGCACCTGGGGAAGTGCCAGGCTTTGTTAATAATGAAGGCCTGGTTAACCTTTACTTTACAGCTAATGTCCACTTATAGGTGAGTACAAAACATGTCTGTCTTTCTGGGTCTGGATTACCTTACTCAGAATAATTTTTTTCCATTTCCATACATTTTCTTCAAATTTACTGATGTCATTGTTTTTAACTTCTGAGTAGAATTCCATTGTATAAATGTACTACATTTTCTTCATTAATTCTTTGGTTGAGGGTCATCTAGGTTGTTTCCAGGTTTTGGATATTATGAATAATGCTGCTATGAACATAGCTGAGCATGTGTCCTTGTGGTATGGTTGAACATCTTTTGGGTATATGCCCAACATTGGTATAGCTGTGTCTTGAGGTCGATTGAGTCACAATTTTCTGAGAAACTGCCATACTGATTTCCACAATGGCTGTATAAGTTTTCACTCCTACCAGCAGTGGAGGATTGTTCCCCTTACTCCACATCCTTTACAGCATAAGATGTCATTAGTGATTTTGACCTTCGACATTCTGACAGGTGTCAGATGGAATCTCAGAGTCCTTTTGATTTGCATTTCCATGAAGGCTTAGAATGCTGAACAATTCTTTAAGTGTATCTTGGCCATTTGAGATTCTTCTGTTGAGAATTCTGTTTGGATCTGTACCCCATTTTTAAATTGGATTATTTTGTTTTTTGATCCATAGCCCCAGAGAATCTAGGTAACAAGGAGAGCCCAAAGAGGGATGCATGAATTTCCCTGAGAAGCTAAACAGAAGAGATCTCTTAGGCTAACTGGAGACAGCTGGGGTTGGAAACATTGAGTGATCAGATTGGTGGTGGAATGGAGGGGGAGATTAATGAAAGAGATGTCTTGATGGGAGAGAGAGAAACTCCCAGGAATCTACAAGGATAACCCCAGCTAACACTTCTAGCAATAGCACTTTCCTAATGTAGAAAGCAGATTTTTCCTTCTACCCTACCTTGCTATAAGTGGCTAACATTGTTACTGTGGGTTGACTAGTCAGTCTGTGTGCAGGAGCTCTGGTTGGGACAGGCCAGAGGAGGAGGTATGTTAAGGAAATTACTGTTGGTGAACAAAGCATCTAATTCTTGCTGTGGTATGAAAAAAAATTTAATTGAGCTCCGGTTGTTCGGTATAAGCTGTTGAATTCACAATAGCTAGAGTGTCTTGAGTAAATGCAAAGGTAATAATGCTTTATTTTCCAAGCTGTTAATCCAGTATGAATGAGTATTTTCCAGAGTTTGTCCATGACTGGGTTTCTGGCCTTTATGTGATTTCTGGGAGCTCCTTAAGATGTCTCCATGAATTCCACTTCTGCTTTCCCTACACAGACTGCATTTTGTTGCTTCAACTGAAAGCATTAAGTTATGAAGTGGAATTTAAGGATTTAAAGTTATCCTGAATTTTAGAGAAACAGAGGACACAACCCCAATTAGTTAAAAATATTTTTAAATTATCTTAGGTACTCATATCAAGTAACCTTTTCTGCTTTGAGAGATCTGCTTCTATATCACAAAATAAAATGAAGAAATTTTAGTGGGAGCTGGTGAGATTGTGCAATGGGTAAAGCATTTTCTCTGAAGCCTGACATTTGAGTTTGATTCCTGGTGACCACATAAAGATGGAAGGAGAGAACGAATTCCAATGAGTTGCCCTCCGACATCCATAGTGTGCCATGAATAACATACAACCCCCTAATCAGTACGTACATACATGTGTGCCTGCTCATGCACACACACACACACACACACACAGAGAGAGAGAGAGAGAGAGAGAGAGAGAGAGAGAGAGAGAGAGAGGAGAGAGGAGAGAGGAGAGGAGAGAGAGGATATTATAATTAGTTGAAATAATATATTACACAATTGTTTCAAGGAAAAAAAAGAACCTAAAAACAAAACAAAAGAAAACAAAAATGATAAAACAATGGTGAGCATTGCCGGTAACTTGTAACCTTCAAACTCAAATGTAGATTCTCAAGACCATGTTCATGGCACAGAGTATTCGAGATAAAAAGACTCTTTATATGGAACAGTTTTAGACTGAAACTCTGTGTGCAGAGGGACAAGAGTTAGCGGTTAAACACCAAGCTATATGTCTCATACTCAACAAGCAATCTAGAAATTTCTCATTCATGCTGGAAGGACCAAGTGTACATTTTCTCTGCATGTCAGCTCCATTTTCCAGATTTGAAGTAAATACTGTAATGTTAAATTAACGTATGGGAACAATGAAGACATGTCATTCACCACAGTGGCACCAAGTAAGTTTCTTTGTGGTTTACAATAAAACTTTGGAATGAGTAGCAGGGAATGATCAACCAAGGCCTTTCAACTTGTGCTGAACGTCATCTGCCCCTTTGATAATCATCAGAGCTTCCAACCACACAGAAGGGTCAGGAAGCAGATGATTCATCCTGGCTCTGATCTCTTACGTAGTCAAATTAAAACCTTTCTACTAAAGAGAAATTTATTTCCACAAAGACATTTTGTAATATATTCTGCCTTTTCCAAGAAGTATGTTGGACACATGATGCCATGTGATTTAGACATAATATTAACAGAAAATAAATATTTCAGAGATAGTACAACTAAATTGTGAGAAATGTGATACATACATAGTTTCTATCTCTTTCTCTCCTTTAGCATTATAGCAATGTAATATCTCTGTTTATATGTAATCATATAAACATGGTTAATTTTATTTGAATTCTTTGCTTCCACATTGCTTCATTGTGGTTGGTAATTCTGACCAATGTAAGGTTGAAACATTTCTTCAAAGCAACAGTTGGGTTACTTCAATCACAACTGTAAACGTGTTAGCATTACATGTTAGCTAAAGAACCTTGAGTTATTCTGGTGTAGTGTTGGACTCCATTTTCTGGAATTGAGTGTACCTCACAGGCATTTTGGAAATTTTTCTTTAGAATCCTTCCATTTTCTGTAGGCACACTTGGAATTGAGTGTACCTCACAGGCATTTTGGAAATTTTTCTTTAGAATCCTTTTGGAGTTCTGTGTATCCACCGTGTGCATATGACTCCATCAGGACAGGACCTACATGATATAACATTTCTATCTTTAATGCTTATCAAAGTAACTGACACAATAAGTTCTTCATATGAAATTTATTAAGTTTTCAAACACATTGAAATGCCCTACTAATCATTGCATGTGCAAAATATTTATGTTAGGGAAAAATAAATTCTTGTTTTCACTAAATTTAACTTCAGATTGATATTTAATAAACACAAAAATAAGTACATAAGGAAAAACTAAAAAGACTCTTCTAGAGCTCATGGGAACTATAGTGCCACGAGAGGGGAATTCCAAGTTGTTTGCCTGTTATCTTGGTATTTGACCCCTGCTGAGTCATAGCCAAGGACAAGTGGGAAATCCAGCACAGATGCCATATTCATAAACAGAGTCAGAACGTGCATCTGTAAAGCATGAGTCCTTCTTCTAAAGTATTTGTCTCCATCACTGATTATGGAACCCGCCCGACATGGGAAGGTCAAGTCTTATGGACCACAATGCTCCTATCATCACAGTCAGGCTGTGGAGTGTCTTCCACCTCCTCTCCCTCCCCTGGGAGACTGTGAGTACCAGGCAGGAATCTGGTGCTTTCCTTGATTCCTTTGCCAACTGGCATCACTGACTTCTATGGTAAAACTTTTAGCCTTAATCTGTGGTATTGTTCACTTCTGTTTTCTTTGAAATTGTACAGTGGTGTACTACTCAACCTGAAGTAGAATTGTGGCCACCAAGGGTTCTCTGAGGACATGACATTCAAGCACTGATTAAGACAAACAGGATTTAAAACAAAGAGATACAGGAAAGAGAACGGGAGGGAAAAGGAAGAGCAAATTGGAAGAGAAATGGAAGGGTTGGAAAAGAATTCTAACACTAATTCTGCCAAGAAAACTGCTTTTAAGGAGACCAGTGGTAGGAAATTACTACAGACTTCGGAACTGTTTGTAGTCACAGTCTGGTAGCACAGGTTTGTGGTTTATATTTTATTCTGGGTACTACAGGAAAGACACCTTTAAAGAGGGTTAAGCAATGCACCACCTCCCCACATTGACAGTCACACAGGTATGTGCACATGAACACACATACTTAGTGGGCTCCTGCTTCATTGAGGAAAACTACTCAAGGAGTAGCATGGGAGACACAAGCTAAAAGGCTGCTGGAATCTAACATAAATGAAGCTTGGGGTTTGGATCTAGCAAAGTGGTAGAAATAGAGGAAACAAATGGTTTCCACACACAAGACACATATAGAGATTGCTTCCTCAGGACTTGGTGAAGAGCAAAAGAGAAGACCACATTAATTAAACTATTACAATTTTTGTGATGGTGTCTCTAGAAGTATGCTTGTCACCCGTATGTTAATGGATATTGTGTGAAATTATAAATAGCAGTTCTATAATCAAAATTCTAAAGAACAGTTTAGATAGTTAAGGCATTTTGTAGAAGCTGTGCAGTGCCTTTAACATGCTGGTATACACTGTGAATGGAATTATACTGTTTTTAGTGGACTTCTTGCAGTCTCAATTAAAAATAATATATCAGGCCACTCGATAATTTATCAGCTTTTACATTATAACTTATCTGTGAGTTGTGACTATAATTATCATATATAATTATAGAAATAAAAGTTCTGGTATTAGCTAATTTTCAGGCAGTACTGCTCCAGTCAGCCCATTGCTATAAATGTCTGATCTTGTAGTCCAAACTCTATTACTGAGATTTAATCTGTATTAAGAATTGCTGCATATTACATGATCAATAAAACACCAAAATGATGTTAGATCTAGCAGACATTCATTTATGTCATATATATTTGATTTGTATTCAGAGAGATGCTAAGTGCCTAAAAATTTTGAAGATACAGCCTAACACACATACATTCCCACAGACATATAAATCCCCAAATGTGAAATATGAATTGTTAAGGTTGCCTTTTTATTTACTGTGAACTGTGTTGCCAACACACAAGGAAAGCCTGTGGGTGGAAATTTCTGTCCCACTTGATCCTGCAGCCGTTCAGTCCCAAAAATAAACACACAGAGGCTTATATTAACTAGAAATCATTTGGCCTATTGCTCAGGCTTATTACTAACAAACTCTTACAACTTAAGATAACCCATAATTCTTATCTGTGTTGAACCCTGTGGTTTTACCTTTTTTTCAGTAAGGTATTCTCATCTTGCTTTCTCTGTGTCTGGCTGGTGATGCCTCTCTGCCTTCCCTCTTCCCAGAATTCTCCTAGTCTGTTAACCCCACCTATACTTCCTGCCTGGCTACTAGCCAATCAGCATTTTACTAAACCGATATGACTGACAAATCTTTACAGTGAACAAGTACATTATCCCACATCAAAAACCTCTCAATTACATTGCTTTTCCTTTTTCTGGAACTATTGGCTTCAATAGCAAGCTGGAAAAAAAAAAAAAAAAAAAAAAAAAAAAAAAAAAAAAAAAACAGAAGTTTAAAACTATATTGTTAATGATGGCTGAGGAACAGGAGCCCTGCTGCTAGTAGCTCTGTTTACTGTTTGAAGATTCCTGTTAATATTTGATCAGGTGTGGACTTTTTGTGTGGGATAAAACCCTGATAACCATGGAAACTGTTCAACTGAAGTGTACAAACAACAATACCTTTTATATCACTTTCACTATGGCATTTCAAATTTCAGAGTAAGTGCAGTTTTACTGTTACTTATTTATGTTACTAAACAATAAAATACTTGGTATTAAGGTTCATGCAAAAGCATTTCCTGAACATTAGATTATATAGGTTATGTTAAAAATTTATACTAAAGTTTTTAACTGACAGCATGCTAACAGCGTCAAGAAGATTATCTTTTTAAAAAATGCCTTAAAAATGAGTTCCTAATTCTTATTTACTATAAAGGATCACACATTTCCTAAAGCTCTTTAATTGAGAAATAAAATACATAATGGGAAGATAAGTGTATACATAACTAACATTCTTTTATTAGAGTGACACGTATGTTATTTCTTACCTTATATATATGTAACACATCCTAGAAATAATGAGCCACAAAAATTACCAAGTATACAAACAACATTACACTACAAAAACTAACTAGTTTTTCCCTCATGGACTGCCTTTTACTTGTATAGTACCTCCAATATTAAATGTAAGAATTTTTTCTTATATCTTATGCTTGCATTTTGTGTATGAGTAATATAGGTAACCATCAGTATTTAAAAATCTTTATTCAATTAAGATAAAATTTCAAAGTCAGAAATATGGTGCTATTTAACTGAGTTTACATACATGTTTGTGTAGTTGAGAAAAGTGAATAGACCCCGATTTTACCAAAGAAGAGTAACCTCAAATGGAAGTGAAAAAGAAAAATATCCTTTCCTTCATCCTCATCTTAAAATATTTTCATGATGCCAATGTGATTGTATAATTCACCTTGACCAAACAAACCAGATGAAATTCTCAATTGGAATAACATGGGTTGTGATGTTCTTTATTGGTAACGAGTGGCTCATTTTATTATGTGTCCTTCAGATATATCTTCCAAATATGTCTTCTTGTAAGATATCACTTAAGCATTTCAATGTCATAGAATAATGTAAAACCTGTAGAAACCAAAGACATTAATGAAACAGAAATACTTGGTTAACATGAAAGCCAACTTTTCAGAGAGATAAACATTTTAAACAAGTTTACTATTGCACCAGTAGTTACAATGTATTTGTGAATGAATAGCTAGTTGTGATTGATAGGGACATGCATAAAATTAGATGTGGATTGAGATTAAATGTAACCTCCCATTGTCAACTTATTGCATATGAAGAAAATTTATTTGGGCCATCCATAGGGGGAAACATTTATTACTGAAATGATATTATATATAGTTAAACATCTGTTCATGTTATGTATCTCTACAATACACATCTTAGCTTGAAAACCCTCAATAATATGTAGGTCAAGACCTTAGGACAGGCTAACTAGTACCATCTGCAGTTTCTGTGTCTAGTGGCCTTGTGCAGTGGGGCATTTTGTTAGCCTCTTTCTGGGAGCCCTTGCCCTTTGTGGTCTATCTTTGGCTATCTCCTGTGTGACTTTGCTGAATATTTGTGGCATGCCAGGATGCTTCCATCTGTGTCTTTTTCTGTCTCTATCCCTCCTTTTTGTTCTGTTGAGACATGGCCTCACTATGAAGCCCAAGGAGGCCTAGAATATAATGTATTTTGAGCATATCCACTCCTTTTACCCTTGTCTTTCTGTTACACCCCTTCCTCTTCCCACCCTTCTAATTTCATATTTTTTTCCCTTTGTGACCTACTGAGCTTGATTAGGGTTGTTTACTGGATCATGGGAACCGTACTGGTTGACATACTACTGAAGAAACTCTTTGCCTCCCCCATTAATTGCAGTAGGGGCAGGGCCCCTGACTCCTTCCTCTTGGTGCAGCAGAGCTGAAGGACCCACTCTTGTGTAGGTACAGCAGCTGATATGAGTGATGACAGGTCTCCCCCTGCAGCCTGCATAGCATCTCCCAGCACTGAGGCCATAGGGAGGAATCTTTCTGCCACTTTCCATCTTGATTTCTCTATGCCCTGAAGCAACACACTGTAGCATTTTCAGTAGTAGGGTCTTATTCATGTTGTTCCTGTGGGAAACTACTGGCACTGGTCATAATCTGTATTGTTTTGGGAACCACAGCCCCCTTGTTGGCCAACAGCTCAGAGGGAGGTATCCCACCCTGGTACTGGGATTTTCATTTAGTGACCTATGTCTTCTGAGAACAACTTTATCCACCTATACATGTTGCCTTTGTTCAAAATGCAACAAACCTTTACAATAATTTCTTTAAGCTTCTTTCTCCCTAGAGTTCCATACTAATCTTTCTTGTCTTAAATTGTTCCTTTCCCTGAGCATTTATTCAGGCACCTCCTTTCTGATAGATGACAGCTCCTGTCACCAGTGTAGTTGTTAACAAATGCAGTTATGGATTCACTCTTTTCTTGCTCTTTTCAGGTGACTAATTGCCTACTGGAATCCACCTGATTAGATTATCCACCTCCACATGTAGACACTTTCAAATATTCAAGAAGCACACATAGAAAGGGACTACAAGAAGCACACATAGAAAGGGACTAGACAGACTACATAAAGATGTTGAACCTCAAGACAACCATTTGTTTGCATCCTCTGCTAGAGGCTCTTCACTGGATCAATCTTAGTGTTCTGTGGGGTTCAGACAGCATGGAGACAGGCATGCCAAACTGGAGGTTGCTTTCCTGAGTCTGTGCTTTCATGGTGTAAATACATCTGGAAGGTCAGAGGGTACAATCTAAATCAGGACCAAAGATGTAATTGCTCCTCAGAAGATAATGAAAGTAAAGTTCTAAAGAAAATTTAAGAATGATGTTTTAATGTGTTTTCAACTAAAACCAAACACATTTACAGACAAAGAATACTTTTTAACTCCAAGCAACTGTTTTCCACTTCAAATTGTGGAAACTTCTTAACCTATCATGTTTAAGAATTAGGTAGAGAAAATTCTCCAAATGTACAAAAAGGAAGATGAGCTGAGACCTTTCTCACA